CTCCAAATGCACAAGTAAAAGTGCCCTTGATGATCAAAAGTAGCTCTCCCAGGTATAGACTTGGTCCAGTAAAAGATACCACAAAAATCCTCCCCTCCTAATCTTTTACTCACTCTCTCCCTTTCCTGCTCAGGCACAAGCTATCTTTTCATAGCTAAAATGTGAGTAGCTCTTGGCTGCCCATCTTTTGTACCTGCAGCTAAAGACTGGACTCCTGGGCAAAGCTAAGATTTTGAAAAGTGCTAATGTAGTCTGCAGGGCTGTGAAAGAAGAGAGGAGATACCAGGAGTAGCTAACAGACAGCAAAATTGCCAAAGAAAGGATAGCTTGATTAGGGGAACATCAAGATGCATTATAAAGGAGAAGGTTGTTTACATTTGTAGATTGAAGTGCTATTAGCAGGAATCGGGTAGTTTTTATAAGCCATGAAGCTAATTGCATCAGCACTGTCTGAATAGAAATACCATCACTGGGCAGCTGGTTGTAAACTTTGGGTAGAGCAGGGATTCAAGCAGGGTGCAACCATATCAGTGGCCGCCCCCCATGAATCTGCCCCTGTTGGACTCTGTCCTTCTCTGTTAGCAGTTGCTGGAGGGAAGAGAAGGAAAAGCAGCAGCAGCCATTTTACATACAAGTGTTCTCTATGCTTCTGTTTTGGGCAGAAAAATCAGATTCACCATTTATGACATGCACTTCAATTTTGGAAGGCTAACTTCTGGAGAAACGTTGAGTGTAGTATGCAAATAAATATAATATTATGAAATTTATACATATTTTCCATTTTTTTCACCTTATTCCTTCTTGTAGCTCAGAGGCAGAGACATGTTAGTCGCAAACAACTTGGAGAAGTATATTAAGTTGGGGGGAAAAAAAAATTTTTGCACTCCTGTTTTTCCTTCCTCGCTGTTCCAAAATGTCTTCTCTATTCCAGTTCAATCGCTGTAAGACTTCCGTATGCAAGGGCATTTCCATCTGCCCTTTATGAAAAGTCAGTGTGGATCAAGTTACTGTCTCCTAAATTGGGCAGAGGGACCTCTGTTTTCTGCTCAAACAATTTTTAGATCCTGAGATATAGTTTATAGGACTCTTATACACTTTTCTGCAGGTTACACTTACAATTAAAGAGATGCTTTGCCATAATATCTTAAAATATTACTACAGTATTATCTTGGTTCTTTTTTTATAGCTATTAAGAGTAAAATATATAGAGGATAAGGGTGTTAAGGATTGGTTGGCAAAGCAACAAACATTTTTCAGTAGAAGCAACATCATTCATCTATTTTGTTTTCCTTACCAGGGCACAGGCTGCAACCTCTGGGTGATGGTGCTCGAGGTGGACAGATGGGAAGTGGAGGGGATGGTGAACGGTGGGGATCGGATAGAGGGCCAAGAGGCAGCCTCAATGAACAGATTGCGTTAGTGCTCATGCGGTTACAAGAAGACATGCAGAATGTTCTTCAGAGACTGCACGCACTAGAGGCGCTGACCGCCTCCCAGGTAAATTTAGCTGAATGATTTATTATACAATAAAGTAAAACTTGAAGAGAGAATTATCCTGCCTAGTCGTAGCCTAGCTAATCTATTTTAGCTACATGTAAATATCTCAAAAGTAGTGGTGTTATTTAGATTTATATCTTGTATATTTTTATGCTTTTCTGACATTTGAAGATATCTTAAAAAAAAAAAAAAAAAAGTTTTTTCACATCTTACATTTTACAACTTATTCTCACATAGGACTTGGCTATACCTGATCTCAACCGCAACACAGTTCAAATATTTTTTTATATGTTAAGTTAACTTTATTAATTCATTCCTCAGTTGTACGTCATTGTAGTCATATAGGAATTTTCATGAAGGCTTACTTGAAGTCTATAAAAATACTACAGTGAACATATGAATTTAGATAAATGAACATATTGTCATATCCTGGAAAAGGGAATAATGCTTCCAGGTCTTTTGGGGGCAATGACTAATATTTGCAAAATAAAATTGTCACTAGAAATAAAGATGCATTAATGATTTAGTTAGTAGTATTTAGTCAGACTACCATATTTTTTCATACAGAACACCCTGGAATAAAATACACATGTTGTTATTCTTGGGAAGGCAGGATGAAGAAAAAAAGATATTTCTAGTTACAGCAGCATGGAGCAGGGACAGAGCTAAAAAGTCTGCAGGGCTGTGAAATGGGAGGAGGGAGACTAGGAGGTGCTAGTAGATAGCAAAATTATCAGAAGAAAAGTTAGCTTGATTAGTTGGAACTTCAAGAGCATTAAAAAGGAAAGGTTGTTGTTAACATCTGAGGAGTGAAGAACAATGAACCATTAAGTCAATTGACTCCCTCAGCTTCCTAAAAAGAAATTCCATTGCTCCACTGGGATTTTGATTTTTAGAGCAGGAGTCAAAGCAAGGAGGGGCATCTATTCTGGGCAAAAAAAAACGGTTTCCTCCCTTGACGCTCTCCCATCCAAAATTAGGGTGCCTGTCTTATGTGCAAGAAAATACAGAAATACCTACTGCACCTATGAACATGCATTGGAGATACAGTAGATAGTTTAGAGCTTTTCATTAGACATTCTCAAAGGACTTTCAAAGGAGGTTAGTGTAACTATTCACGTGGTACAGAGGTGGAAATTGATGTTTTTGGGCAGCTACTAATTATTTGTTGTCAATCCCCATCTAATTCCTCCACCTCCAAAAACAATCCAGTTCTTACTGGAATATCACACCCCACAACTAGAGGACAGTGGTTTTTTTTCTCTGAAGTTTGGGAACATTTTAAACACTACCCCCAATATAATCTGTTTCTGATTTTGTTGTTTACTGTCATGACTTGTATTAATTCTAAATAGTCTAGCTGTCAGTTTTCAAATTTTGCTTTTTGTTGGCCTTGTTGTATATAAAGATAGGAAATTCACACTCAAATATAAAGCAGTCAGGGAAGAGGTTGATTTGGAGTTTATTATAACGGTAATATGAACTCTGATTCATGAAGTTTGTTAAGTTTATGATTAACCTGTTGCCCATGAGTAATCCCATTGAAACTACTCATGAACATAAAGAGAGATTTGTTTTAAATACCTTTCTGAAGCTTCTTGTGAAAGACACTTTAACTTAAGGACTTACAAAAAAACTAGAACTCTTGGTTCCAAAATGATATCTTTTATTAGACCAACTGGAAAATGGCAAGAAAATTGTCCTTTTCTGCAAACTTTCGGGATCAAAGTTAAGGACTGTGTGTTATGCCTTAGGCAGAATATAACCCCAGTAATTCTGACTCCTTATACACTTGGTAGGGCAGAAAAAGATCCTGTGACACCCATGTGCATACCTGGAAATGTCAGGATTCAGTGTTCTCTCCCTTCATTTTAATTCCTTTCCTGCTACCCAGGCCACACGTGAGGAGTTATCACTGGTAAATAAAATTAGCATTTGACATGTTACATTGTTTATAAATACCATCAAGCTGCTACTAATTCTTGGGTGTGCTGCAGCTGCTGGGCCGAGTCTCCTCACCTCTGACAAAGATTGTGGCATGGAAGATGCGGAAATATGAAGTGGTGTGATGCTAGGACCATGGGGAGGGGACCCAGGAAAAGAATGACTGGGTGTTAGATGGAGTGACGCACAGTGCCCTGCTCTTGGGACATGTAGAATAAAAGTTGGAAACCATGGTGTAGAAGATGGGTTCCATGCAACATGTTTTAGGTCTTTACATTAACAGAGCTAAAAAAATCACTTTCTAGGAGTATCTTATTACATGGGTTTATGAACAGTCATGTACAGCTTCCCAGAACTGCCATGTAGACCGTATGTAGTACCTCAGCAACATAAAGAATTTTATATAATTAGTTTACAAAATAGAAAAAAATCAAACTAAGTTTTCAAATTAAATACTATCCTTATTCTGTGCTTAAAGGCAAGAACTGTCGCCCTACAATCAAATTATCAACCAGTCACAGCAGCTAAGGTAAGACGACTTCCCCCCCCCCCCCCCCCCTATGTATA